ATTTACTTGTAAGTGTAAAACGACACAATTTAAATAATTGTGGAGTAAATCTGCTTTTCTTTATGAATTTCGAACCAATATTTATTCACGAATTTTACGAATATCTATGATTATATAAATAGAGATTTCATTCCATTGAAAACTATCAAAAATGAAGCTGTTACCTTAAAATACTTGCACCATTCCGAGATACTTCGGTAGCACCAGGGATTAAAATTTAACTAGTCACAATTAGGACTTATATATAAAGTCATATATATCCTCTAATCTTATATATTATCGTAAACTCCTTATAGAGTGGAGTGGAGATACTGGATCATCAACGGAGAGCAATAGAGAAGAATTTCTAAATGAAGTTACGTGCCTCTTGATTGTTATTTATGAATATTTAAGTCCTTTAAATTCACTAAGCTTATCTTTAAGTCCCTATTAAATCCTATAATAATCTTATACAACTTACTAGGCCTTATTCTCGAGCATTATCCTAGATATAATCCTTCGAAAATAAACTTCTATCAGTCGCGTATTGAAGAAACACATCTAATTTACAAATAATTTTTTAAAAACTCTACATTTAGTAATTTAATATTAAATATTTTTCTAACGGGTCGACTTACAACAATAAAAACTAGAAAACACATTAATTTATCAAAGAAATTATTAGTTTAATAATTAATTTGCTGGATAACATAAGAAAACTTTATAAACTGTATTAGATCATAGAAAATCATTGTATAAACTTTTATAACGTGCAAAATAAGCAAATATTCAGGAAGTGTCATCATCTATACGACGAAACTCATCATCTTAAGCACGCAAGTGTAACTAATTAGAGAATATAGATGAGTAAATCTTTTAAATATCTTCAAATGGATTTTAACGATGGATGATGATTAATAACTTGAGTTAGCTTAAAAAGGAAAAAACGATTAGCAATGGAAAAACTCATATCATATGACAACTCTCTACTAGATAATTTTTCAAATGGCAATTTATCAGTGGACCTCACTATGACTCTTCCTTTTAATCCTGTAACACTTGCAAAATTAATAATTCACTTGTTAAGTAATCTAAGTTCCAGTTTTCTATATCTTCTATACTGCTGATGCATAAAAAATAATTCGAAATGATCTAATTTAGATATAATATAAAGTGTAAACATGGAAATAATATTAATTTTTTATTTTATTTCGTAACAGGAGAGGTGTGAATTGTGTTATGCTTTAATGCGTTACTTGAGCTTTAAAAAAATTTAAAATATTATATAAAATAAAAGTTCTAGATTAAAAAAATTAATTTATAAAATATTCATTTTCTAAATTCGATTTTAATATTTTAAAAATAAGATTTAAGTTTAATTTATTGTCGATTTTATATAGCTTGAAACTTAATGTTTAAACACTGAAATTATTTAAACGTATTTATTAAGGATATAAAATAATTAACGAACTTATAAACCTTTTTTTAAAGGTTATTTATAAGTGTATTTTCGAATAAGATCTATGGCAACAAGTCAAAAAACGGAAAAATTGCAGCCGATAAAGCGCTCAATTTTTCATCGCTGGATCCGTGACTCCACTTTTTAAGATTAATTTTTCCTCTTAAGACTTATTAAAACCGAGAGATAGGTCCCATGAAGGCCAATAATAAAAACAAGATCGATCTACTCGAGATTAAAACACATTTCGCAATCAGATATTAACGAAAAATCACTTCTGAAGATAAAATATTACACTCGGAAAAGATTTATAATCTCAAATCCTATGTAAGAGAGGTAAAAGTTTAAATTTTTCTACGCTTCTTAATTTAGATAGAGTTGTATATGTTGTGATACTTTATTTATTGGATGGAATTTTAGTCATGTTTGCTGAAACAATGCTGATAGATTGCAAAAGTATCAGTAATACTAAGAAGACCTGCACATGTGCACGACCCAGTTCCATCAAAGGTCGAATCTAGAGATCAACCAGGACACTAGATGATTAGATGACAGATTTCAAGCTCCGTTGATTGAAAAGAACCGGATAAGAGATGAGAACGAACCTCTGACCTTTGAACATTTCAAAACATCCCTCTAAAAGCAACCTGAACAACAAAATTCCTTCTACAATCAATCTAGTTCAGTCAAATTCTCTCTTTTGCATTCTTATCCTTCAATTGTTTTCTTCGATATCACGAAAATATTCATTAATATAGGAAATAAATAAATAAAACCGATTCCTTTTCGGTCAAATTTATAAAGACAAAAATTCTAAATTTTATATTTTCTATATTATAAGATGAAAATAAACGTTATATAACTTAATTTCAATAGATAATGATAAGTAGTTATGTTTATTTCGTTTTATTTGGAAATATTTATATGTATTATTTATTTATTTCTTCTTTATCAATGGTGTAAATGCTAAATGCCATCTTTATATATAGATATTTATTTTATTTCCTAGCTTTAAATTAAATAAATTTGATATTTTTTGTCTATTAACTAAGAGAATTTCTACAATAACAAAGTAATTCTATTGATACATAAGCACAAAGATAATGGAGAATTTGTCTTCTTTAATGAATATAATTTATTATTTTAACTAATAAATATATTATTTTATATAAAAAATATAAATATTTATCAAAAAAATGAGTTATCAAGTGAATATTAAACGATTGTAGCATAGTTAAAAGTGACAGTGAATGATTATAAAATGCCGTATCATCAAAATTAACTCTTTTATAATTTGTAAATACATTTATACATTTATAAATTATTAAGTGTAGTAATAAATTTAAATGTATATAAACGGATAAACAGACTGTTTTCTACAGTCTTAATGATAATAGAATTCCTTTAGATATGCGTTAAAGAATTAGAACTTAACACCTGAAATAACACTAATATAAATAATTAAATTGGACTTGCAAGATACTATAGTATTGGTCTAAGATTGAAATAACTTAAAATTGAGAGAGAAAGAATAGAAAAGTTGAGGAATGCTTCCTTTGTGACTCTTCGGTTAATTGATTCTTACTTATGGACCACAATAGAATAGTTAATTAATACGCTAAAAAAAAATACTTTACATAAATTTTTCACTGATAAAACAGTTATTTTTTAAAATATTTTTAGTTTATAATGATTAATCTGTAGGCCTAACAAGTTTGCATTCCTCTTAACAATTTACAGGCCATTTTATTCTTCACACAATTTTCTATCTTAGAAAATTATAGTTAAAAAATTTAAACTTTAACAGTAAGCACTTAAATAGATTTAAGTGTTAATTAGCAGTTAATGTTCTTATTGTCTACGCATTAATTAAGAGAGATGTACTGTATGTCAAGTATCAGTATCATGTAGATGGTTCGATTTACAGTTCTTTTTGCATTATTAAATTATAAATATATATTAATCTGCAGCTTAAGGCCTACCTTTTTAAGGCATTGTGAGTGTATAATTTAGGGTATCATACTTTTATATATTGTTATTTGGTAAAGGGAAAGGCCTGCTATGAGCTATAACTTAGAACCACAACAAATCTAAGTCCAGTCTGCTTGTTCTTTATTCATAATCACTACTTCTAATTAATCTATGAGCTCAGTTAGATTATATTTGAAAGTAATATCATAAATATAAATATATTATATAAAATAGCGATTAAACAGATTCTAATTTAGATATAGATACTTAAATTTTATTTTCTATAAGCTCGAATTACAACGTAGTCAAATGATTATAATTTAATAAAACAATATTAAACTATTATAAGACAATTACTTATTTATTATTAGACTATTAAGCAATTCAGAAAATAATATATAAAAATAAACATTAATTTTATCTTTAAAACTTTCCCGAAACGAATATCTATTCGGAGATTTTATTATTCATTTTATGTAATATTAATAAATATATATGTATTTTTTTAATATAAAAAAAGTGTATAAAATTATTAAAACCGGACACAAAAAATATTACGTGATATATTAGTCATGTGTGTTATATTGCTAAGTGAATGAGGGTCCTTTGTTACTTGATCTAAAAGAATAAAGCGTGCCAAATGATAACTGATACGCTGATACAATGATACATGGCAATTGTGTCCAACGAAAAGAGTACATTGCTCTTTGTGTAATATATCACTGTTCTTCCTTATTGAAATATTACACTGTTACATTGTACAGATATTTGAAATTTCTCATTGTATCCGGATTTTTATTTTCTTAAAAGTTTCTATCTTCTAACTCTTTTCCTCTCTGTGTTAAGTCTTATTGTAAACTGACACCAAAAAATTATAAAAGAAGTATGAAAATTTTATATAATGAGCACTCCAAAGTCTTTTCTAAATTTAAATTCTAACCTTTATTAACCTCATTATTACGTTTTCTAATTTTGAATACAGTTATTAGTGTATTAGTCTACGATATTAAAAAGATTATTTAAAATAATTTTGACAAAAGCTTGATTTAGAATCATTTTATATGAGACTAATGCTTGAAAGATAAGCTAAATTCATAAACACTAGCCCACAGTACATCAGTACATTCTATAAATGCTAGTTTTAGCTTATATATAATTTTAAAAAAATTAAATTAGCTTTGAATTTCTTAAATCTAATTGTTTTTATGTATAAAATATCAATAGAAAGTTCTCATAAGAAAAACCCGTTATGTCAATCGATGATGATATTACGATTTACATGGAATTCGATTTATAATTTCGTAATAATACAGCTTATGTGCGTAGAAGGGTAAAAATCCATGACGTCATTACCCAGTATTTACAGATTATTTAAACGATAATATTCAAAAGATAAGTTAAAAATAAGAAAAATGGTACAGTGACCTATTAAAATAAAATTATTATTTTTTCTGTATTATTATTTTAATAAGAAATTGGAGACTAAATAAATTCTAAACACACGATTATATCGTATGATTGTTACGTCTTCGATATTAATTTTTGACAGGTAAAATTTATACTAAGCTTTTTTTAAATAATGTAAACTCACCGTTGAGATCCATGTCCATGTTTTCTGTGGTCATAAAGGATTGACTCAACTGTTGTGCGCTGTTCTGGTAAACTGTAGGATCTGCAGAGAGTACCATACTCGAAGTCGTCGTTGTATTCGGTGATAAAGATTGTAATGATGCTGCAGGACTGCTGGACGGACTCAGAGAAGGTGGTTTTAGGTATTGTCCTCCGCAAGACGTGGACCAAGCCAGGGGTGGTTCGGTCCTGTCTAAATTTGTGGCACTGTATAATTGATGAATGGGAGATTGAGCCGGTGCTACTCCATATTCAGCAGAAGGTGCCGGTGGAGTCATGGGGGTCAGATTTCCAGAACTGGATAGAGAGCAGCTAGATAGATAATGACCGTTGGTAAGCTGCACGTTACTCGAAGGATAACTGTAACTGCAGGGTGTCAGTTGGGAATTTTGGTAATTCTGTTGCTGGTCGACGTTCAAATAAGGTTGATTACTAGCGCTCATGTTTGCAGTCGACATCACAGACGGTGCCGGTGCACTGCAAGACACGTTGGGACTAGGCTGACCTAAGACTTCGTAAGGAGAACCTAGCATGGTTCCTGGGTAATATGTAGGTGTAAACGGTTTTAGAGTTTGGCATTTTCTACGAAATCCACGTGGTCGCCTTCTAAAGGATCCTTCTTCGAACATAAACTCGCTGGCAGGATCGATAGTCCAGTAATGTCCTTTACCTGGTCTTCCCAACCCTTTTGGTAGCTTGATAAAACATTCGTTCAAAGACAAGTTGTGTCTGACTGAATTTTTCCATCCCTGATAACTACCTCTAAAAAACGCAAAACGTTGTTGTAAAAATTGATAAATCTCGCTCAAAGTAAGTCTTTTGGATGGTGAACTCTGAATGGCCATGACGATTAGAGCTATGTAAGAATAAGGAGGCTTTTCCTGACGTCGTACACCAGCACCACACTTCTTAGTAGGAGCCACGGCTTTCTCTCCCGAATCACTTTCGTGTAGAGACGACGACGTCGAAGGTCCATTCGGATCTTGATGCCCGAATTCACCCCCAGACACCAACATATTCCCAGTAGTCAAACCGTGTTGTACTTCACTTTCGGGTAGTCCTGTTTCTAACTTTTCCACCTTCATGTTTACGAAGACATGTAGCCGATCAGTTGCATGACTGAACAGAACAGAAACGGATTTTAAAAAAAAAAGTTCCCTCAAGACACAGCCAAAAAAACAAAAACAACACGCAGAAGACCCAAGACACGGAGCAGAAGACAAGGAGCCCCCCGAACGACTTTAATCTCGACTGCTTCAACACGCTTCTCCTAACACTGACTGGACACGATCAATTCCAGCCGTCGAATAGGGTGTACGGTTCGACTACGTCACGCATTGTAGCAACACCCACAGCTACAAGCTCCACCTTCGCGGGAACCTGCTCTGCCTGAGCTAACAGATAACAAATTGGGCGGCTAATAGGCTGGGAGGAGGGTTACATAATGTGGCAGCAATGGGAGAGGCGCAGGATTTANGCCCATTGAATTTGAATAAGAACACTTCATAACATGGATCCATGCCAAATAGAAACCAAGATATCATAATGCAAAGAGGTGAAAACAAGTTTGGATATATTTATGGAGAATGATCTTTGTCGTCTTAACCTTGGAGTGTTTACTTCTTATTGGAAAAATAACTGGTTCTTGAAAACAACACATCATTTTCTTAACTTTTGTTCGTGTGTGTCGCATTATAAACTTAAAATATCTTCCTTTCATAACTACAGGTCGAGGAGAATGGACGATTTAACAATAAATCATTTGCTAAAGGATAGCTTCTGTTCAATGCACTGTATTTAAAATGTTAAAATCTTGCATGTAAAACAGGAAATTTTATTAGTTTAAATATAAAATTTTAACTGTATTTTATTATATTTAAAATAAATCAGATCCTCAGAGCAAAATTATATGAACTGGGTTGGATTTTAGAATGAATTAGTAAGAAAATTAATAGAATTATGAAATTTTATCCGGCATTTTTCGCCGGAATTTCTCTAAATTGAATAATAAAAATATTATTATTATTTTCTTTATACAAAAAAAGGCTTTTAATCGATTAATTTGGTGAATATCTCTTTGGTTAGAGTCTAATATTTATTAAAATATTAAATAAAAAATAATGTTTATGTAATGAATGAATAGATGATAAATTCCAAGATAAATATCTTAATATCTTTAAAAATTAATTAAATTAATTAATTTTTAATATATAATTTTAATTAAGCCTATACTAGAGTTTATCCTCACATTTTTAGGATAAAAACCCCCAAAAATAGAGTATTCTTATATAAAATATTAAAAAATAGAAATCTTTAAGCACTTTTATAGTAAATGATTTGATATATTTAAAGAAAAATAACGAAAAAGTCTATATTTTATACATATTTTTAATCCTCCTTTACTAGGATTAAAAATACGACTCCTTGTTCATCATCCCGCATCACTTTCCACTAACCGAATATTGTTCTAAGATTTATTAATTTTGTGTTAAATTATTTAATACAACGCTAATAACTATGTGTATATAAATTTTTAAATTTTTATTGCTAACCAGTCGCTTTCGTTTTTTTATTATTACTATGTGCAGGAAGTTATGCAACGTAGACTAATTAAAGTGTCTATATTACAGAAATGAGAACTTCCTTACTAACATCCTGTAGCGATCTTCAAATTTTTACATATTTAAATTTCTGTTGTACATTTAATTTTTATGGATAAAACTTTAGGATTAATTCTATAAACACGTGTAACTTTCAGGCCTAGTTGTTGCTACACTACACATGCAAATAACTTGCGTAAGTACGATAAGAGATGACTCTACGAACTATGATCCATTTATAAATTTATATGTAATTTTTTAAGACAAAATTACTTAAATATATATATATATATATATATAGGCTAAACATAAGCTTATATATTTACTCATAGACGAATTCTCGACGATAGTTATCCATACAAGTCTTTCAGAGGTGAATCTGTCTAATTCACAAACAAATTAATGAAATATTACGCTGAAAATACACTCTATATCGTTAGTGATATCCTAAATGATGTCATTGTGGTTAAAAATCACATGATCATAAAACAGGATCTGAACGCCTACAGGCCTGCAATCACGGAATATATCGCCTTTATATTTTAGTTTTTTTCTATATTTTTTAACCTTCTTGTGAGGCAAAATGTCAGGTTTTTTTTTTAAATATCTCTTATGAAGTAATGCGTAGCGAATTAAGTGCTTTGCCCATTGAATTTGAATAAGAACACTTCATAACATGGATCCATGCCAAATAGAAACCAAGATATCATAATGCAAAGAGGTGAAAACAAGTTTGGATATATTTATGGAGAATGATCTTTGTCGTCTTAACCTTGGAGTGTTTACTTCTTATTGGAAAAATAACTGGTTCTTGAAAACAACACATCATTTTCTTAACTTTTGTTCGTGTGTGTCGCATTATAAACTTAAAATATCTTCCTTTCATAACTACAGGTCGAGGAGAATGGACGATTTAACAATAAATCATTTGCTAAAGGATAGCTTCTGTTCAATGCACTGTATTTAAAATGTTAAAATCTTGCATGTAAAACAGNTTTTCTAAATTCGATTTTAATATTTTAAAAATAAGATTTAAGTTTAATTTATTGTCGATTTTATATAGCTTGAAACTTAATGTTTAAACACTGATTAAGTAAACTTCTCTTCGTTTTAAAATTATTTAAACGTATTTATTAAGGATATAAAATAATTAACGAACTTATAAACCTTTTTTTAAAGGTTATTTATAAGTGTATTTTCGAATAAGATCTATGGCAACAAGTCAAAAAACGGAAAAATTGCAGCCGATAAAGCGCTCAATTTTTCATCGCTGGATCCGTGACTCCACTTTTTAAGATTAATTTTTCCTCTTAAGACTTATTAAAACCGAGAGATAGGTCCCATGAAGGCCAATAATAAAAACAAGATCGATCTACTCGAGATTAAAACACATTTCGCAATCAGATATTAACGAAAAATCACTTCTGAAGATAAAATATTACACTCGGAAAAGATTTATAATCTCAAATCCTATGTAAGAGAGGTAAAAGTTTAAATTTTTCTACGCTTCTTAATTTAGATAGAGTTGTATATGTTGTGATACTTTATTTATTGGATGGAATTTTAGTCATGTTTGCTGAAACAATGCTGATAGATTGCAAAAGTATCAGTAATACTAAGAAGACCTGCACATGTGCACGACCCAGTTCCATCAAAGGTCGAATCTAGAGATCAACCAGGACACTAGATGATTAGATGACAGATTTCAAGCTCCGTTGATTGAAAAGAACCGGATAAGAGATGAGAACGAACCTCTGACCTTTGAACATTTCAAAACATCCCTCTAAAAGCAACCTGAACAACAAAATTCCTTCTACAATCAATCTAGTTCAGTCAAATTCTCTCTTTTGCATTCTTATCCTTCAATTGTTTTCTTCGATATCACGAAAATATTCATTAATATAGGAAATAAATAAATAAAACCGATTCCTTTTCGGTCAAATTTATAAAGACAAAAATTCTAAATTTTATATTTTCTATATTATAAGATGAAAATAAACGTTATATAACTTAATTTCAATAGATAATGATATTTTATAATTTTGCAAAATTTAACGTTATTCAGTCTTTTATTACATTTATAATGTGTTGTTTCTTTATTTTTCTATAGGATATCCTCTGTTTATCAATTACTAATTTACTTGTAAGTGTAAAACGACACAATTTAAATAATTGTGGAGTAAATCTGCTTTTCTTTATGAATTTCGAACCAATATTTATTCACGAATTTTACGAATATCTATGATTATATAAATAGAGATTTCATTCCATTGAAAACTATCAAAAATGAAGCTGTTACCTTAAAATACTTGCACCATTCCGAGATACTTCGGTAGCACCAGGGATTAAAATTTAACTAGTCACAATTAGGACTTATATATAAAGTCATATATATCCTCTAATCTTATATATTATCGTAAACTCCTTATAGAGTGGAGTGGAGATACTGGATCATCAACGGAGAGCAATAGAGAAGAATTTCTAAATGAAGTTACGTGCCTCTTGATTGTTATTTATGAATATTTAAGTCCTTTAAATTCACTAAGCTTATCTTTAAGTCCCTATTAAATCCTATAATAATCTTATACAACTTACTAGGCCTTATTCTCGAGCATTATCCTAGATATAATCCTTCGAAAATAAACTTCTATCAGTCGCGTATTGAAGAAACACATCTAATTTACAAATAATTTTTTAAAAACTCTACATTTAGTAATTTAATATTAAATATTTTTCTAACGGGTCGACTTACAACAATAAAAACTAGAAAACACATTAATTTATCAAAGAAATTATTAGTTTAATAATTAATTTGCTGGATAACATAAGAAAACTTTATAAACTGTATTAGATCATAGAAAATCATTGTATAAACTTTTATAACGTGCAAAATAAGCAAATATTCAGGAAGTGTCATCATCTATACGACGAAACTCATCATCTTAAGCACGCAAGTGTAACTAATTAGAGAATATAGATGAGTAAATCTTTTAAATATCTTCAAATGGATTTTAACGATGGATGATGATTAATAACTTGAGTTAGCTTAAAAAGGAAAAAACGATTAGCAATGGAAAAACTCATATCATATGACAACTCTCTACTAGATAATTTTTCAAATGGCAATTTATCAGTGGACCTCACTATGACTCTTCCTTTTAATCCTGTAACACTTGCAAAATTAATAATTCACTTGTTAAGTAATCTAAGTTCCAGTTTTCTATATCTTCTATACTGCTGATGCATAAAAAATAATTCGAAATGATCTAATTTAGATATAATATAAAGTGTAAACATGGAAATAATATTAATTTTTTATTTTATTTCGTAACAGGAGAGGTGTGAATTGTGTTATGCTTTAATGCGTTACTTAAGCTTTAAAAAAATTTAAAATATTATATAAAATAAAAGTTCTAGATTAAAAAAATTAATTTATAAAATATTCATTTTCTAAATTCGATTTTAATATTTTAAAAATAAGATTTAAGTTTAATTTATTGTCGATTTTATATAGCTTGAAACTTAATGTTTAAACACTGAAATTATTTAAACGTATTTATTAAGGATATAAAATAATTAACGAACTTATAAACCTTTTTTTAAAGGTTATTTATAAGTGTATTTTCGAATAAGATCTATGGCAACAAGTCAAAAAACGGAAAAATTGCAGCCGATAAAGCGCTCAATTTT